TATCAAAATTAGATAAAACAGAGAGGAGTAACTTTAAAAGTAACTGTAACTGTAACTTTGTACAGAGATCTCCAAAACAGCCAATTTAAATATAGATATACTATATAATGTATAATGTATATTCATATATTCATTTAACACCATCAGGAAATCAAACACTGGGGTACCACCTTCACATTCTGGTTTTATACTCCAGCCATACTTTGTGCACCTAGGGGTTCCGGATCTGGGATTGTACCCTCTTTCACATCTATATTGTAGTATATTGTTTTCTTTGTACTCCTGATCAGGGTTAGTAAATCCATGTGGTATTTCAGGTGGCAGGCATTTTATTTCTGCAAGAAAAATGCACATTTTTGTTGTACTATATTGTAATACATACAGACAAACAAAGAAACTAGTAGCAAGTTTTAAAAAGTGTTTTTTGTATGGTTATCTTTGGAACAGTAACAACAAAGAAAATTAGTTTCAACATGTTACAGAATTGTTCTTTTACATTTGAATATCTAATCATACACAGCAAAATTAACTAAGTAAACCTTTAGAAAGTTAAACTGAATCAAAATCCAAGTCCAAGACCATAATACTAGTTTATTATTACAATATTTAAATTGCTCTGACTGCCCCAGTCCAGTTAGTTAGCCTAGAGTAACATAAAAATTATATTTTGGAAAAACTCTAGCTCTCATAAAGTACTGGAATTGCCTATACACTTCGGTATATCGTCACTCCATCGTCCGTTATCTTTGCAGTGTATGTGTTCAGGTCCCACTAGCAGCTTATTAGGAGATGCACACTCAGAGTGGATAACATCACCGTAGCTTGCTTCTTCAGTGTTGCCTGTTGCAATCACATCGCATAAATTGCTAATAATAGGGCATTTCACCACTGAATGGAAAAAAAACATCTTAGTGAATGAGTCTTTAGAAGCCAATTTCTGTTTGTTTGCAAAACTTTTTCTAATGTTTTAATGTTTTTTGTAAATGTTTTAATTGTTACTGATTTTTGCTGCTTGGAGTGCCATGCTGAAATGTCACAGACATTTTGTGTAGAATCATTGACCAGAGGTTCCCAAATTAACGGTTAAATCAAGTGCACTCATGCATGATAAAGAGCTCATCCATGATAAGTTATCTCAAGTAAACAACTTCCAAAAAAAAAAAAAAAAAGAACTCATTGCCTTTCTGGACTTCTGTATCAAAGTCAGCAACCTGTTGTTTAGTAAGTTTATTATGTGGTTTGGCTTTATTAAAGTGGGCAAATAACTTATCTACTCAGCCAAAGTTGCAAGGATATAGCTAGGTTGTGTTAGCCAATTACTTCACCGATCTATACAGTGTGTCATGTAAGAGAAGCCTGAGACGGATGCAATTGCAGTTAAATGTTTTAATTAAAGGCAGGCAGATAAATCCAAAATGTAAAGCAAAGTCAAGGTTGAGAAACAGGCTTAGGCCAGCCAATCAACAAACAATGTAAATAGGGCTACGTCAAAATACGTAAACCGGGAAACTAGCAAAGTCACAACCAGAACGGCAATCACAGAAATAACGGGCTTGGTAATGCCAGATGCACTGAAAAAAGAAATCAAAGTAGCTTAGACTCATACAGAGTTATTGAAACAAAATCAAAACAGTTATGTACACAATCTCACATTTCAACCTCAGTTGGAAAAGATCAATAAACTGATTGAGGCCAATCTGAATGAAAATACTATCAGATTGAAAGATGTGGGTTAATGATTTTAATCTATTAGATACAACAGTAATAGCCATGTAAACTTTCATGTCCAATCATTTTTGTTATTGGAATTTGTGTGTGTGATCTGTGCATGTGTGTTTGAGTCACAATGCACTCCTTGTGCAGTAAAGCCGTCGAGTAAGAAACATAGTTTGTATTAGATATTTTAATCTTTTTGAAATTATTGTGATGTTATATTGGCATCACACTAACATTTTAAGGCAGATGAGGGAATGGAAGTGACCTCAATAAAGTAGCTACTTCTCTCAAATAAGAAGGAGGCTGGCCCGTCAGTTGTAATAACACTGGTGCTAACACTAGCCGTAACCGGTGAAACATTAGATCTTCAGTGTTACTCATCATCCTCTATTCTGAATTCTAGTTAAATTCATCTATCACAGTAAGCTTAGCTAAACAACCGCACTACCTCGGACTTTTTCGAGTCCTTAGTAATGTGAATGCACATGTGTGAGTAAATTAACACACTGTACAGCTCTGCTACTCCGGGAACTGGTGCAAAGTAAAACATTTTTCATGTGCTTTTTATTTAAATGAAATGTGTTTTCTAATTGATAAACTGGAAGTAATGTTTTTGATCGGTCTGACTACATTAAACACTATTCATAAGATTTTTAAAAGGAAAATGACATATAAGTGCACAGGTAACAATATAATATCATGCTTTTCTTTTAAAGAAGTACTGAACACATACTAAGGCAACAGTAGGTGTTATTTTTGTCAAATTCAATCATCAGTGAAATGCCAAAAACACTTCAAACAGGATATGCCATCTAACTGTCAGCCCTAAATATAAAAAAGGGAGAAGTAGACCTACATTGTTTGTTTTGGCATAACTTATTGACTACTATATCACAGTGTCATGACTACATTACCCATCAGCCCCTGCACATCATGAGATCCTGCACACCTGAGTCAGGTTGATGTCTAATGAGCATTCGTATTTAAGTTCTGTTATTTGTCATTTGGCTAAGCGTTTGTCGTGTTCACCTCATGTTCTTGTGTGTTTCCATGTGTGGTTAGTTCTTGTTCTTCTAATTCAGGTTTTTAGTGTTTTTGTGGTGCACTTATTTACCCATCACTTGCACTTGCATCCACCTCCGACTCCAATCCCTGACACACAACTTTTGAATTCTTTAATCTGACTGGTTAGAAAGTGTTGATTTATCTACTATAACCGCAGCTCTGACGTTATCATTTCTATAAAAACAGCTCGTTCACAGGGACATGTGTGGTGGACAAACACTGAATGTATTGTTTTTAAAAAGTGTTATTTAACAAAGAGGAAACATAAGGAAAATTAAGCATTATGGAAGAACCTATGTGTCAGACGTAAACAGGTTACTTTAAGTTTTCTCCTGGGAAGGCAGAGGGGTTTGTGGTTTGGTAGTTGGGTAATTGAAGACAGTATTCTTAACTGTATGGCTATCTGGCCACATTAACATAAACACACTGTTAAAGATGATTGTATCTTACTATTAAGATATTAAGGTGTCTAATTTACTATTAAAACATAATTTACACTAGGTAAGTCAATTTAGCTTCGCTATAAAAATAAGTGACCATGAATTTGAAATGTCATATTTTTGTAATTTTTGTTACAAAAGATTGATTATTTACTGTTACACTAACATCGTTCAACATTGTGCCCTTGTTTCTAAACCAGATATTCATTCTTCATATCCCAACACATCTGACTGGAACTCTAGTCCTCAACCAACTTATTATACTAACAAAAATATTCTCCATATACAACGAAACTGTCTACTTGAACATTTAACATTTTGAGTATTTTCCCCTTTGTGCCCATCACAAATGAAGGTTACTCTCCCTAAATATCCCTCTTGCCAGTAATATTACAATGACTCTCCCTTTGTATATTTGCTTTTCAAAGAAGTAGTGGAAATTTCTACTGTGGGAACCATCTCTGGGCAGGCGGATGGCTCATATAATAGGTCACTATTCATACCATCTGTGACAGCAAACACATTAACTTTCAATATTTCATTAGTGTTTCAATACTAACATACTGTACAGTGGCCTCAGAAAGTATTTGGACAAATAAAAGACACGCTTACAAATGTATGCATTATACTGTTTTAGAAAACAATTCCCAAAATATAGATTATGTTTAAAAATATAAAAATAATAGATTTACTGGTTATAATTATACAAAAAAGAGGGTCCCTGGAGGACTAGTGGTTAGGCCTCGGCACTCTCACAGCCATGGCCTTGGTTCAATTCCTTGCCAGGGAACCAACCCCACACAACAGTGCGCTCCCAGGGCCGGGCCCAAGCCCGGATAAAATTGGGGAGTGTTGCATCAGGAAGGGCATCTGGTGTAAAAACTGTGCCAAATCAAATATGCAGACCAATGATCCCCTTTGGTGACCTCTAATGTGAGCAGCAAAAGAAGAAGAACAACAACAATTAGACAAAAAATGATTGGATATGTAACTCTATTCTGGTTGTCACAGTTAACCTTTAGTTAAGATCAGCAAAAGACCAAAACATAAAAATGCTCAAAGATGAAAGACTGAATGAAAACAATGTACAAGAAGACACAGAAACACAACCAGCAGACTGGGCAGGATAATTGTGAGTAAAATCAAGAAAACCGGGCAAGAAACAGCAGCAAGGATCGCTTCAGACATCAGTGAAAATCACCAGCTACAACTAGAGCACACACCATTCAAAACGGGATCAATGAGCATGGGTACAGAGGGAGAGCAATGTGGTGGAAACCAATCATCAGCCTCAAGAATAAAAAAAGCACGGCTGAAATTTGCAAATACGCATGCCCAGAAAGGCAATAGTTTGTGGACAACTGTCTTATTTTCAGATGAATCCAAATTTAAATTGGATGGATCTGATGGGAGTGTGTTTGTGTGGAGAAATTCAGGAGAAGAATTCCAACCGAATTGCACTAAGTGTACTATTAAGCCTGGAGGTGGCTGGGGCTGTTTTTCCTACAGTGGTGTTGGTGAGCATATGTTCACTGATGGCATCATAAACTCAGGAATGTGCATTGGTGTTTTGGATGCAAACTTGTGGAAAACAGCAAAGAAATTTTTCAAGCAACAGAAATGGATTTTTCATCAGGATAATAATCCAAGGCATATGAGCTGTCTTTTGAAAGAATACTTCCCAGAGCCCTGATCAAAACCCCATAGAGCATCTATGGAATGCAATGGAGAAGAAATTAGCATATTGTCAATGATCTAGTGTGTATGAACTGAAGGTTTTGTTGGTTGAAGCTTGGAGGAAACAGTATTAAACTGTTGGAATAAACTATTACAAAAATTGCCAGACATTGCCAAGAAGTTCTATGAAACAAAGGATGGCAAACAAAATACTAAAACACTGTAACTGTGATCTTTATTGAAGACTTTATTTGTCTAATTATTACAAGTATATCTATTATTTTATATCTATTATCTATTTTTAAACATATCAATCTATTTTTAAATTGTTTTGCTTGAAAAGTGTACTTGTGGTATCATTCTTTAAAATAAATGCCACTTTGTTTAACATGTTGTTCTCTAATGCAGGATAATTTTTAAGTGTGGCTTAAGTATCCAAATACTTTTTGGGGCCACTGTATAAGAAAGTATGTCACAAAGACAGGTGACATAATTTAAAGTGTTATATACAACAAACAAAACAAAAATAACAATAATAAATAAAAAAGAAATAAAAGTCTTACCATCAAATGCTGAAGTATAAATACTGGCCAAGAAAAAAATATACAGGACAACAAGACTTGACTCCATTGCTCCAGTTTAGTAGGTTTACTCACCAAGCATTATGATAAGACTATATTTCCCAATTTAAACCTGGCCATTTCCACACAGATTTACAGTAAATTAAGAGTTGATATATTGTGAAATGAATAGTTTTGCAAGGCTGTTTATGTGGTTAATAATTAAATATTGCGTACATAATTACCCTTGACCCATTACAACTTTCCCCCAATTGGGACTGTTTGGGAGTAAAAAGTACAAAGTGTTATTTAAACAGTGTAGAAGTTAAAAAAAAAAAAAAAAAAATTAAATGCATTAGGACACTGAGGTCCACTAATGTGTGTTCTTTGCCATTTTAATCCGTACTTAATCAGAGTACAAGAAAACTCTTGCTAAGTGCTGTCTCACAGCAGACACTGCTGTGGCCCCCTTCCTGCACCATTGTCACTATCTTTGAAAAACCTTAACTCTGTAGAATAGCTGAAT